TCGTGAAGACGCTCTTTTCAAACTTGGACCTTCAAGTACCTTTGAATTCGCTGACAGCCCACCTCTCCAATCAGAGTATGAATTGGAGTTTGAGTTTCGAAGATTTCCGAGTCCACGTCGCTTTTTATTTGACTTGTATCTGGAGCTCAAGCTAGGTGTTCTGGAACGGATCCAGGTATCGGCGTTTACGTTCAATCGGCCTTCCTCCATCAATACCAAGATCCATGCTGTACTCTACATGCTCTTATTTTACCCTGTTTTGACCGCTGCCAGACCGAGCACGAAAGGCGATCTTTCAGTGCAAACTTGAAAGATTCCTCGAAATAATTACTTTCGTTCATATTATGAAATAAATGAATTCAGTTTACCTTGAATTGTTGTTTCGGAGCCTTGCAGAAAATTCATATTTTAATTGGTCTGTATTTCTTTAGTTCAATGAAAGGGTTGTCTTCAAAATTCCTCTGAAAAAGTACATTTCTGTTATCTATTGAAATAATTTGCTTGGCACAAATTTATTGGTGTGTGACCACTGGCAGTGGCAGAAGATTTGACAAAGTCAAAAATGAAATGCATCCAGCAGTCTTAAGGTCCTGGAAAACATTGCAACATGAATACCCTTTGCAGCAGAGTATGCTCTGTCAAACAAGATGTTGAGATAAGCCTCAGAGCCTCAAAGCAGACAAGACAATGTATTCCGGTTGTCCTCTACATGGCAGTCGGAAGAGAGGGCAAACAGATGCAGTTGCATCCGCGAGTACAGCTTATATACGGGTAAATAGGGGTTAATACAAAATGGATGAGCTTCCGAGCTCGGCAACAGAAAATAAATCCAACACAAGAAAAGGTGATCATTTTCTTCAATGGAATTAAGGACAGGGAAGCTCAGCAGGAGTTGAGCTCAGCGAGTGACCTAAATTGGTCTGGATTTTTGCTGACATCAAATCATTAAGAATCAAACACCAAGCAATTTTACACCTAAGCAATGCAGATACAAGTGGGGGAATACATAAGATAACTCTCTCTATCTTTTCTTTCTCTTTTTCTCTTTTTGCAACTTGAAAAAACTTGAATTTTTCAAAATCTCTTTGGAGATAAACCTGGAACCATAAACCACAAAGCCAACCTTCCTAATAAAGCAATTCCATTTTACATCATATTACTCCTGCAATGGCGGAGTATCGACCATGACTGTTGCAAGAGCAGCTTCAGGGTAGCGTTCGCCAGGTATTTCACTCTCCTCAGCAATCTTTCTGATGGCAGCAACCTCTTCAGGAGTAAGCTTAACAGCAGCACCTCCCATATTCTCCTTCAGGTACTATAGGAAAGAAATTAGTACTATAGTAGTAGGAGGGGATCTCAAAGTTCAAAATATTCACCTTGACTTTCTTTGTTCCAGGAATCACCACAAAATCATTGCCTTGAGCAAGAATCCAAGCCAATGTTACCTGGCTTGAAGTAGCTTTATGATTTGCACCAATGGCTTCTAGTTTTTTAACTACATCCAAAATCTTGGGGAAGTTCTTATCCTGAAATCTGAGAGCAAAGATTTAGGAAACCCTCAGTTGGATGAAAAGGACGAGACAACTTACTTGGGCAAGTATTTTCTGAAATCTCCTTCCTCAAAATCAGCTGCAGATGTCTAGTATGAGCATATCAGTCAAGTTAATAATCCCTATGGTATCAGAACAGCTCACATATCTACCAGTAATCAGCCCTCTTGCAAGAGGTGAATAGGCAACAACGGTTACACCAAGCTCTCGGGCTGTTTTGAGGATTGCAATCTTCTCATCTTCAATGTGCAGTGCAAAGGGCGAGTACTCAACCTGGATCGCAGCAATAGGATGGATTTTTGCTGCCCGACGAAGGTCTGCTGCAGTACATTCTGAGAGCCCAATGTATTTTACTTTGCCTTCTCTGTTTCCCTCCATCAGCATATCTAGAGAATATTGCATAGAGCTGAGAAACATACTTGACTAATTCAGCCATCGCTTTGACTGTAACCTCGATCGGAACAGTTGGGTCGGGTCTGCAGCATCGTCAATATCAATGTTACACTACTCTACCTTTTATTCCACATACCGATGTTGGTAATACAAATCGATGTATTCCACTCCAAATCGCTCGAGTGACTTGGCACATTGAGATTTAACATATTCAGGTTTCCCACAAGGTGCGGTCGGAGTATATCCAAATTTAGAAGTCAGGAAAATCTCTTTGCGTTTGCCTGTCTTTGCGAACCTGCCAGTGTAGCAGAGTATCTAGCCATCGATTGAATCGACTACCGGACTAGTGGGACTCACCATTTGCCAATGAGCAACTCGGAATCACCGTAACAATCAGCAGAGTCCCAGTGGTTGCTTCCTTCCTCATAGGCGGCATCGAGTACCTACATACCAGTATTGGCCTCTCACGCGATTAAAAGTTGACTAATATCACATACCTTGAGGCGCTCTTCATCAGATTCAATCTCTCCGTACCAAGTACTGATGCCCATCACACCAAATCCAATGGGATGGACGAAGCTATCACCAATCTTTCTGGGAGGTAGAGACATTGGATATCTGTGAAGAATAAGTTTGGGAAAATATTGTCCTTTGTGAGCCCTTATATCTGTAGAATTTTAAATTTCACAAGCCAAAATCTCTATTCTTCCGATTTCCATCCGTGCCCTGACACGGCAGGTTTCTACGTAGGACTGCCGGCTCCGCCTGAGCAAATACGTGCGACCAGACCCATAAACCCATATACATTTGAACTTGAGTCAAACCTGAATAAATCCGAGACGGTTCCGCCATCTTGCTGACCCGGGATCGCTTAAGCAGAGAAACTGGGCTACTTGGTCGACGAAATCAAACAGAACGCCATAGCCATATAGTATACATTGATTTTCATACTTGTACGTTCTCAAAGTGATTGCTTTTGGAGCGGAGGCGTTTTCGCCAATACAACCTGCATACCAGACTTTGCGTACTACCGTGTCCCAGGTATGTCACTCTCTTCTGAGATCTTCCTGACAGCGTTGATTTCATTTGCACTGAGCTTCACATCAGCGGCGCCCGTGTTTTCTTTTACATACTAGATAGACCGTAATACTGATAAGGCTGACGAAAGTTCACGCATAGATTGCGCATAGAACAAACAGAAGTGCTTTGATCTTTTCGTACCGGGAATAACGACAAAGTCCGATATTAATATTACGGTCTATATAGTATGTAAAGGAGAACACGGGCGCCGCTGTTGTGAAGCTCAGTGCGAAGGGAATCAACCTTGAGCGAGGTGCCAGGCCAGAGAAGTTTTCAGCTTGATATCTGTAATCGATAAGAAACACGATTTTTTTTTGGTTGTTACGCGTACGATGACATACTTTGGGATACTTAGTCTTTCTGAAATAATTTTCCTCGAAATCATCAGGAGCTATCAGGAGATTTCTGAATAAAATATCGAAATATCGAAAGATCAGAGCATATCCCTGGTTTGTTTGAAGTTGAAGGCCTACATACTGACCGGTAATCAACCCTCTCGCAAGAGGAGAATAGGCTACAATGGTAGTACCGAGCTCTCGCGCAGTCTTGAGAAGCTCAGTTTTGCTGGATTCGATGTCGAAAACCAAAGGAGTTGAAGCACAGAGATGGGATGGACGGCGTGAATCTTCTGCGCTGACCTCTGAAAGCCCCAAATAATTCACTTTTCCTTCCCTGATGAAGAATTAGAAACGGCTCTGGTCCAAGTCGATGTTAACGCGTACTTTACCAACTTAGCCATAGCTCCAACTGTGATTTCAATGGGAACTTTAGCGTCGGGCCTACAAGGATCCGGTTAGAATTAGACAAGGCCACCAAGACCATCGTCCTGTTCTGATAACACAAGTCAAAATATTCGACGCCTAAACGTTCCAGAGACTTGACACATTGTTCTTTCAGATATGAAGGTTCGCCGCAAGGTCCTTCTTTGGTTATTCCAAACTTGGAAGTAAGGAAATTTTTTTTGCGAATGCCGAAAGTGGGTGGCCACCGAGTCCAAATTGGCGTACCATTTACCAATTAGCACCTCAGAGTCACCGTATACGTTAGCAGAGTCCCAGTGATTGCATCCACTTGCATATACAGCGTCCAGAACCCGAGGAAAACCTATTGGTCTCTCTCGACGACTTGGGGGAAACCTTCAACCGTTCTTCGTCGGGCTCTTCCGTAGAATGCACTGATACCCATAGCACCGAATCAAATAGAATGAACATGAGCATTTCCGATCTTTCTGGGAGGCAACATCAATATCGTGGAGAGGAAAGAAAAGGGATATTATCATTAATGGGCCGTGGCGTCTGACCTGCCTTTAATTTGTGGTAGTCGGACAGTGGGTGGGGTCTTGAGTGGATCGATGTATGGTAATCCTGCAATTTGACAAAGTCTGAGATTGACTGTACGACGCGAAAGTGAGTTTGGAAAAAAATAGCTGGCTAGGTAGAGCGCTGCGTTGAAATCATGGAGCCAATGCAAGCATCTTGGGTTCGATACCCATGGCCGACGTAACCAAGGGAAAAAGATCATCTGTTTGCTTTTTTTTCTTTGCGCAGCTCATAAGTACCCTAGCTGCCCAAGTAACCAACTTGGGGCACAATTTTTTCTCTATGTTGAGATTAATTGCTATTCTCAAGTCAATAATAGGTCTCGTCTGCACTTCATTTCATGAACAAGGCTCACGTACATTAAACTACGAACCCTCTCTCGAGTCTCGCGTACGTCTACTTACTACAAACCACCTCGACCGGGACAATTCTACCATTAACTTCTCCCTTTCGGATGGGATTGAGCTACGGCGTGTTTTGAAAGATGCTCAGTATCAGGGCCGGGGCAAACATGACTGTCCATTTCGCGCATTGGAACCAATACTGCTCGCGAGAAGGGATTGCGGCGAAACGGTCTAATGCAGATCGGAGTAAGCCGCCTTCTTGAATATTCTACTGTAAGTAGCTGGTTTTCGTTTACATTTGGACCTCTTGATATGGCCAACTAGCTCAGTCGGTAGAGCATTGCATTGCATTAAACCTTCAGCTGAAATACGTTAGCATGCGAAGGTATTGGGTTCGATTCCCAAGTTGGCCAATGAGTCACGGCGAACACGCAACTGTTTTTTCTTGCTTGCGTGTAATTTTCCTTATATAGTAATTCTTTGTCTTCTCCTTGACTCTCATGCTCGGATGCAAATCGATTCTGCGTTTGACCCGATGCGGATGTACCGCGCCAAACGAGACGGGTCGCACGTCTACGTGAAGAGCAAGTACAATATCCTTGGCTTCATCTCCAGTGGAACCTATGGCCGAGTATACAAAGCCGAGGACGGCTCTGGCAACCTGCTGGCCATTAAAAAGTTCAAACCGGACAAAGAAGGCGACGTTGTAACCTACACAGGGATCAGCCAGAGTGCTATCCGAGAAATCGCAGTAAGTTGCAGTGGGTTCTAGTTGCTTTATCTGACTCTCTGCAGCTCAACAGAGAAATCAGCCACGAAAACATTGTCTCGCTCACAGAAGTGATTCTCGAAGATAAATCGATTTATATGGTCTTTGAATACGCTGAACATGACTTTCTTCAACTGATTCATCATCATTCGCAAACTCTGCGTTGTCCAATCTCCACTGCAGTCCTGAAATCTCTGACGTATCAGCTTCTCAACGGCCTCGTTTACCTGCACTCGGTCCATATCCTTCACAGAGACCTTAAACCAGCGAATATTCTTATCACTTCCACTGGCCTCGTCAAAATCGGTGACCTTGGTTTGGCCCGTTTATCGTCGCAGCCTCTTCAGCCGCTGTTCGCCGGTGACAAGGTCGTTGTGACAATCTGGTATCGCGCACCAGAATTGTTACTGGGAGCAAAGCATTACAATCACAGTATCGATTGTTGGGCTGTAGCGTGCGTTTTGGCAGAGTTGGCTAGTTTGAGACCGATATTCAAAGGAGAAGAGGCGAAGCTGGATTCAAAGAAGAATGCACCGTTTCAGAGGGATCAGTTATTGAGGATATTTGAGGTGCTGGGTAGTCCGAGTGGTGTGTCTTTGTTCTTACTGTGCAATCCGACCTCATCTCTGACCATTCGCTTAGAAAAAGACTGGCCCTCTCTGTCACATCTACCCGAATACCCTTCTCTCAAACGCCTCGATCCATATCCTAATCGTCTTTTCGACTGGTGTCAATCCCGCATTCGGTCTCAGGCTGGATACGATCTACTCAGATTACTGTTCATGTACGATCCAGATCGACGGCTCAGTGCGAGAGATGCATTAGAACATGCGTGGTTCAAGGAAGAACCATTACCAATGGCCAAGTAAATCCATGACGACCATTCTTCCGTTTTATCTCCTACTTATTTTCTCTTTTCAACAGCGCATTCGCCTCCGTTCCTCCAAACCAAATCCCCCTCACCGCCGCATAACCCAAGACGACGCGCCGAGCATGTCGATGGCTCTCCCTCCTGCGCAGGCGGGACAGACAGATAATGGTAAGAATCGCGGTCAGTTAATTGGATCGTTTTTTTCGTTCATTTCTGACTATTTGGCTTCTTTCGTCTCCCGACATCCTGCATTCATCATCCTATGCATCCTGCATATACCTCCTCCATCCCTCCAGGTCCCCCGTTCACGCAACCACCCCAGCCGCAAACACTTCTCCCCGGTGCCGGCGCTCATTCAAAACCCGGTACAGGTAGTGGAAGTAGCGGCTCCGTAACGGGAACTGGAGTCGGTGCAATGTATGTTCCGCAGGGAGGAGGAAGTCAGAGGAAGAAGCCGAGGTTGGGGTAGTGGGAGCATGGGGAAAGTGAGAGGAACACTTGCTGGCTAAGATTGGGGCATCGGGAGGAGTTGGAGCATTGTAAGTTTCACAGACGGAAGCCATAGGAAGGGTACATAGGGTAGGGTTTGGTTGTCATAGACGTAATATGTAATATGTACACTTTGCATTCTTGATTTATTCTGCTTTTGTTGCTCTCGAAGGAGTTTTTGTGGCTACAGTTCAAGCGTAAGGCTAAAAAAATCACTGATAATCAAGCACATGACCACCGCAGGGGTCGAACCTGCAATCTCCTGATTACACAACTAAGTTGATAGTACATCGTAGTCAGACGCGATGCCATTTCGCCAGGCGGCCATAACCTTCCGCATTACAAGCTGCAATTTAACAACCTTTTTTTAATTAAGTACAGCACGAATTTTGTATCCATCGTATTATAGCAGTACAACATGAGCTAAAAAATAATATATCGTCCTTGTCGACACTGAGAGCAACTCTCGAGGCCCCATATGCCAACCTGTTACACAACTTTACACACGAGTCGCGAGTCGCGAGATAATCCCTCACACATAAACCACTCGTCCCCGTACTCTTGTCATCCTCCGACTCGTCCGTACTTGGCGACACTGTCGAAACAGTAACATTGTCGAACTGTAGGATTGGTGTTGCACCAGCCTGTAAGTATGCGAGAGGGGGAGATGGAAGAAGTAGATTTTCATTAGCCAAGACGAAGACGAATTCTAAGTCAAGAGATCGACACTTACTCCAATCAGCATAAAATGAGCGACGGTCAACATGTTCGTTCCAGCTGTGAGCGTTTGGGGTATGGTGACAGTCTGTAGTCGAGAGACCGTGTCAGGAAAATAATCATAGCATAAGCATACTTGATATAGCACGTACGAAGTTCTCATATGGGTGGCTAGATCGAAAGATGTACCAAGAAGTTATTACAGCTTAGCATTCGTATATAGGACAAACTGAATAACAAGGGTGCTCACCAGATTCTGTTCATGGAATTCCGGAGTATAGTTCCCCGAGAATAAAGGGACTCCGAGTGTAGATCCAGCATCCAATGTAGGACATGTCTCTCCTAAGGCTGCGCAATCGAGGATAGCAATTACAACGGAGACGTGTTGTACCCCAGTGAGAGAGTTCTGTTAAAAGGATAATAAGTATAATTATTGCAAGAGGCGACGGAGGATGATTAATTGGAAGATAGGTAGACACTCACTCCAAAAGCCAACTGAAGCGTTACATCTTGCCCTGCAGTTATCTCTGCGTCGGGAGTTGGTGAAAGTATAGAAATCGTTTGAGAAAAGGCGGTCAGAAATAGGGTAGAGAGGAGAAGGAAGATATTAGCTGATTTCGTTTGCATGATGAGATCGTAAGAAAAAGGTGAGGCAGTTGAGGTGATTCTTCGTTACTCGTATGATACGAAATCGGAACTGAGACTGCACTTTATATGAAGAAAAGTGGAAGCTAGATTCAGAAGCAACCTGGTAAAGGGCACGATACTCCACCATGATCCAATTCCATTCAGTCCAGTAAAATTACCGCACTGGAGTAGAGCCAAGCGCAAGTGGCGTGAGCTCTCAGTAATCCCCCGAAAGCAAAGAAGTCCGAAATCGTTTTGGTCGGATGACTTTGAATGCTCCACCAGAAGATTTTCAGAACAAATCCACCATATACTATGTCACCATTGTATAACACATGTCTTCTGGTTTACTCCACTTGACTGAAAAACAGATGAACGAAAATCAACCGATACAAGTGAAAGCCACCGAACTATCTATCCATCTATCTATCGCATGAAAGTGTTCATTGAACAGTTAACGGAAGGAACACAAAACTGACCTTGGAGCATAAATCGACCTAGAAGCTCTGAACTTGGAGCTTGGGACGCAGAGGTGGAACGATGCTTCTTTACCCGATATCTGGCGTCATGATAGGGTGCTTGAACCCTCCGTGCGTCAAAAAGTGCTAGAAAGCAAGGACGAAGATGGTTGAGTGTATTAATTACTTCAAGTTGGTGATATGTTTAGGCAATAAGAGCAACGATGAAAGCAAATGCGAAGACAATATGACTAGCAGTGAGTGTCGGGATCTAGATCGTATACATATATCGCAGCCTCCACTCTTGCAGCACTGGAAAGAATATTCGACACAGATTAATTGTCGATAAATCTCTCCAACCTCCGTCCATCCATGAGTTGCTTCTGCTATAGGACTGGATGACCCGATGGGCTAGCTGTTGCACTCGACGGTCGGTGACAACGGTAAAATGTAGAAGAATATATAATGGGTCGAACGAGTAATTCGAAAGATCGAGATCATTGCCAAAGTTTACAGCGCCCATTTCTCCTGCCATAAGATTATATTCCGATGTCATATGAACGTCATCCGGAGTGGGTAAAATGGTCGGGAGATGGTCGGGGATAGCCCATTTGTATTGTAGGAGAAGCGATAAAAGTTCTTCCCCTTTGGCAAGGCATTTCGAAGAGTCGTCGCATGTAGAAAGGAGAGCGCTCGGTTGTAGTGAGCTGAAAGAGTGTGAACGAGGACTAGAGGATCTAGGTCTGTGCGGAGGAGACGCGATGATCAGTGGCGCGTCAATGGTTTTTGTCACCTGTAATACTGGAGTAGCTGTTCGGATGCTGAATGAATGCGTGCGGAGAACCGCGCCTCGACGCGAAGATGGAGCTTGAATTACTGATGGCTATAGAGCGCGTTCTCCTGTTATAAGCGAAAGAAGATGAGCCTGATGAGCTCTCAACGTGTCGACGATGACGATAAGGAGAGTTCGATTCGAATGGTTGTTGTTTCTTCTGTTATCACCTTGCGCTTTGATTGCAAAGTCGTTGATTTGAACTAGGAGACGAGTGCGAGGGGCCAGTCGGAACGCGCGAACTTCGACGCGATGATGGGCTCGGAGAGCGATAACGAAGTGTTTTGGTAGAGTGATGGTGACCCTTACTATACCAATGATAAGTAGATGCGACTTCAAGTTCAAGCATAGGCTCACATTTCTTCCATCCATACACGCTCACTGTACCATCGCAACAGCGTTACAGGTCAATATGGCCTAGATGTATGGCATAGAGTACACTCACATTAAGGCCGCCTTCATCGCTGGTAATATTTCCTCATTCGAATCACGAAGAAACACGCTAATTTCGAACCGCAGAGTCTGCGTAAATTTCAAGTTCAAGTAGATGAATTCGATGCGATTATACTAGAGCCTCACACAGTATCGTCATCCGAAACAGTCATCCCGTGTGCTGTGGCATTGGTATTGTCCTGAGAGACCGGTGGCAACTGCAGCTTTGCGAGATCGGAGTGAAAAATGTCGTTTTTGATCATCGGCCTCTGTCTGAGCATCCAACTGGCCTTTGTAACCGAGTATTGAGTATTCAATGTGCACTACCATTGTGAACATATTGAAGCGGCATTGGAATCGTTCAGCGCTGTGGAAAGAAAGATAGTGAGCGACGAAAAATTAGAAGCAAAGTGCGAAAGAGACTTGCCATTCGCGTAGTTTAGTAAATATTTCAACTAGCAGATTTAAAGCATTGGGTTCAATGGAACGGATAAAAGACAAAATGAAGACAAAATAAAGAGGCGGTGGTTACAAGCGAACCACGAGGCTAGCCCATATCTGGAAGGTGCCTTGCCAAATTAAGAGACCTAAAATAGGGTTTACGCCCCGTGCTCATGTCGCTCATGATTCTTTGGCCTTGGTTGCTTTTATGATTTGCCTTCTGTTAGTACTAATAGTGGAATAAATGTGGAAGGCTGCGTAGTACCTTGTGCGTACAGATGCAGTATCAACTCTGTACATGAATTGCCGGTTTAACGTTCAATCTTATGGTCAACTCAGTTAAAAAGCAGATACAGTATATAGCTACATACTTATATCAGGTACAACAATGAAACGTACTGTACAGCTGCATCCCAAAACCCAGCCTTTCGAGAATAACAACAATAACAAAAACAAACGACACAAATACAATTAAACGTAAAAAAAGAGCGTTCATCAAGCCTTCATTCTAGCGAAAGCTGCAAGGAGCTCAGGGACAACGGTAGGCTGCCTACACTCTCTTAAAACATCCTCCAACGCCATCTCCATGCGCACACATTGCTTCTGTTCTTCTTGTAGACGATCATCTGCTTTGACGAGATTTTCATACAGCTCTGGCGTACGAAAATTAGCATAAGCGAATTCAGGACGTAGGATTAAAAACCTACCGTCACATTCACTACCAGAGCCAATCAATTGCCCCGAATCCCTCAATTGCTTCTCTATCATCAAACACCTCGCAGAAGCAGCAGACATACATCGTCCAATGTCCCAGAATTCGCCCGTAAGTTCGGAAATCCGTTCACTACGATTCTCAGTGAACCCGTTAACAGATGTGTTGGTCATGTTCAACCCCAGCTCGGGATGTGTCATACGTATATCGTGGTACAAAGAATTCAAGAACTCCATAGTTTCGTATGAGGAAGCTGGATTTGCTTGCCCCGAGACGGACACGGTAGCGGAATCCGAAGCTGATGATAATGGTATTGGCATTCCTTTCATGTCTATATCCAAAAGCGATCTCCCATCTTGGTCGCAACCAAGGGAGGAAACTGAACCCTGTTGCCGCTGTTGCGATTTTTCAAGAGCCGCCCGCACGCGATCGCTGAGTAACGGTGGCCTCTGGGGTAAACTCTGATGAGGAGGAGGGAGAGGGAAGTCATCACTGCTTCCATAGCCCAGTGAATCACAATCGACAGAGGTTTGTTGCTCTATTTCGCGCAGAGCCACCTGGATAGACTCGATCCTGCGGATTTCGTTATCGTGACGGATGCGCGGCCATTGTTCATGGTTTCTCCTTCTGTCAAAGTCCCATCGTTCGGAGCGGCTGCGAGATCTTGGAGAAGATGGAGTAGAAAGGGTGCGCGTTTCGCGCGAGATTGGATCGGGAGAACGTGTTTTTCGACGCGGTAGACGGTGGATACGAGGACCTTCAGGATGGTCCACTACATCGGTGGTGTTTTGAGGTGGCCGTGAATGAGAGCGAGAACGTGTTTCTCCGCTTTCGCGTGAGGAGGCGATCGAGTAGGGAGAACGTGAGCGTCTCTCTCGATGCGACTGAGGGCTCCGACTTATATAATGCCTAGTATCAGATCGATGCTTTCTCCTTCCATAGTCATCATCTAAATGTCTGCTGGAGAAATCACCACGAGATGGAGGCGAGCGAGAACGTGTCCGGCTCCGACTTCGAGAACGGTAACAGGAGCTACTGCGTGGGGTGCCAGATTGATATTCTGCAGAACGTCTTCTAAAAAAATCAACACGGGATGTAGGGGAGCGG